ATTCCTAATTTTTTTTCACCTTTACATTTCAATTGGAGAAGAGCTACATTTTCTTATTTAGTGTGAGCTTCCAGCAGCTTAGTAGCTGTTCTGCGTTAGCAGCACACTTTGAACAGCATTTGTTGGTGAGTAAGAGAGTTTAATGCCTGGCAGAACAGCATTTGTACAGCAGGAGTACTTCCTTAAAAATAGGGTATCTTTTGTGTTCACTTCCATGCAACCAACCTCTCCTTATGTGTTGTCTCTGTAAGGCCAAGATTTAGCTCAAGACTTGAAGGAAACGCTGTTGGACAGTTGTTGGCATATGTATTTAAAAGAAAAAAACAACTTTGATTTTTTACTCAACATCTCTGCTTTGTAGCTAAATTACTCTGAGTTTAGAATTTTTTTCCTCTTTGATCTTAGGTGTTGTAATATACACCATTTGATCTACTTTTTATGCAACTCTAGTGGAATATTAATACTGAATTGTTTTCTTTTTTTATTAAGTGTTCTAAAACGTGCAGTATGAAATGAGTTAGTTTAAAAAAAAAAAACAGCAATGAAACAAACTCTTTCCAAAGTCCTGTAAGAAACAGGTTAGTATGGAATCAAAAGTTACTTTCTTTTTGATTCGTTCTTTCCATTCACCAATTTTAGGCCCCTCTGAGGAATTAAAGCAGTTTGGCTTATTCTGTCCAACAATTACCCTGATGTTGCTGTCTGGTTTGCAAAAAGTGTACCAAGTTGTAGCCCAGTTTCCCTTGATGCCTCTGATCAAGAGGAAGGGCTCAGCTTTCCCAAACCTGAAGGTTTTTTTCCGTGTGGATAGATTTGCTTCACTAGGAGGTGTCAGCAGCTGATGAGCGCAGCCGTGAGTGAGGCAGGCCAGTGAGTTTATCCCTTAGTGCAGCAAATCATGTGGGGTTGGGTTTTGGCTGTAATGTGGAAAATTCTGTCTGTAGCCCAGTAACGTGTAAACTGTGCAATTTAATTGCGTTTATTAATGCTGAAAACTATTTATGTGGTAGCAGTGCTGAAATGCTGGATTGTTAATCAATACTTTTAGCTACGGATATTAATTTTAAAAAAAACTGATTAAAACATCCCTTTAGTTGTCAAACTACTTTTTCTTTCAAAGTCGTGTTGTTTGACAAAGATTCTGGTGTTTGAAATGCCATCTGGATCCAATAATATGTCTCAATTGGGACGAAGCTCTTGCATCGCAACAAACTTTCATGCTCAGGAGCTATAGGAAGTCCCATCCCTGCAGGATCTATAACACAGTCAACATCTTTCCTCCCCTGAAAAATGCCTTGCAGGGCTGCTCCTTTGTAATGGGAGAGGCCACTGCTGAGCCACACCAGACACCTGCTCCTTCCTAGGGCCGAGTGTACTTTATTTCAAAGTATTTCTGCCAGTTAAAGCAAAGTTGGAACCAAAGAGCCTTTTGAAAGATCCTTTTACTTTTGCAGTAACTCTCTTTTTTAATATACATATTAACGGTTGTCTTGAATAATGTAAATGCTTATCCAAAAGAAAATGAATCGCAGATACATATGTGATGTAATCATATATCTGATATGATATATAATCAAAATATGACTACTGCAGAAAGCTGATACGTGTTACAAAATTTGTGCCCAGCCTAACAGTCTAGTGTGTGACTGGAAGAGAGAAAAAGGTTTAAACTTTGCTGCTGGCTCTCAGTATTTCTATTAAAGTCCAGAACAAGAAAAAGATAGAAAGGGCTACAAGATAAATGGAAAGAATTTGAGTTTTTCTTATATTCTTGATGATTGTGGTTGCTGTCTGCTACTCCAGCTTCCCCCAGATTTCTTTTGTGGCTTTCAAAGTAGGTTCATATAAAGCAAAAATTGTATGAAGTTCTCTAAAAGTTTTCTTCTGCATCGCAGCTCTTAACCTAGAAGTCAGACCAATATCTACAAAGACAAACAATAGCTACAGATAAGCTGCCCTTAGCAAGCAGTCAGATCAGAATCTGTTTTATTTGGAATCTGGGAGTGTGGCCTGATTCAGTGTCTTACATCAGTCTATCAGATAGTGAAGTCAGGAGCTGCAAAGTACAGGGCTTGATTTGGTTCTGATTTCTTCTAAGATACATGTGTCCAATTAAGTGGTTTGGATTTGTTTTCCAGGGTTCAAAGATTTTTTGTCTCATTTCTCTTCCCTCCCCACACCCAACTGGTGGCTCAATCTGGTGGGTATGAGAAACAGTCACTGAACTGTATTGCTCTTGTAACCAGACGGCCAGAAGAAACCACAGAGGGATTTTGTGTCCGGCACTGTAATTAGAGAATCTCCTTTTCTTAATCAAGGAAGAAACTCAGAAGCTGTGGTTATGGGGAAAAAAATCAACTTTTTTTTTTAACTTTTGCTTTATTTTAACTTCTGCTCTTATTATTTTTCTGTGTTGAATTAGAATACCTAAAGTTGAGGTTGATGTTTATGCCTCTGTTATTCATGTATGTGATATTGCCTGCAGAAAGAATGTGTTTCATTATCTTTCTCTACTTTCCCTTCCCAACTTTGTCATGTTTTCTTTCAACTTTTTATTGATGCTACACTTCAATATTTTATTTGGCCCACCTGGTTTTATATTTCAGAGATTTTTAGCCTGATAAAATCATGTGCCCTCTTAAACACTGAGCTGGAGGAAAGAAAAATCCATATTTCAACATAGAAAAATTAAATGTTCTAGTTATATTTCATGAAGGTGCACCATTGCAAAATGTAAACAGATGCTACTTTTTACCTTCAGTATAGGGTTGTATCTTCAAAGGTGGGTATATGCTATCATGTGCCATGAGACTGCCCTTCTGACACTATCTCGGGCATGGAGATTTTCTGATTTTTAGGTGGGAAATGTTGCATATGATTATGAAATCTCTAATGTTTCCTAGAGCCTGATAGATCCACAATTCTAGGATATTTGTTTTCTTGCAGTATTTCGGCAGTATTGCTTGCAATTCCATTAGGAAGAATGTTCCATGGAAATAAGTTGCAAAGATAAAAAAGTTCTGTTTTCGGGCATCGCCTCATTCTGAGGTTGCTTCTATTAAAGTTTTTACTAAAGTCTGTTATGATGGGGCCTGATTCACCTTTCTGAAGTAAAGACCAGTGTACGTATTAGTATGGCAACCACAGAAAGAATGATAATTCTAGTAAAACGAAAAAACACTCTTAAGTCACTGATTCCTTTCAGTGAACTATTTGGTTACGTGGCACTTCAGGCTTCATGAACTGTTCAGCAGCTGGATTTCTCTCTTTTGGGACTAACCTGCACCAAGCTTTATATCCCTGTCAAAATGGGGTGATGTTTATTTTTCCACCTCTGTCCTTGTGCTCAACTGTACTTCATTTTTAAATAGCACTGCTTGCTGTTTTAATAGTTTTATCTTTTCTACAGGTATGTTTATTTAATGACCTATTAGGTAACTTCATGGAGACATACAGAAATAGTATGAATAAAATTATGTTAAACCAGAAAAATAAAATGTGTCTTCAGATGTAACTATGAATGCTGGTTTGAAATAACTGCTTCTCTTCCAGGGTGTTCCGGAAGATTTGTTGTTTTTTTATAAACATATCCAAAAGGGCGGTGAAGTCTTTCGAGTAAACCATTGTCTCCTGCTGTACCGTTACCATCCACAGGCTGCAACTCATTCCGTCCTAGAGTAAGTTGCATTTTTTGGTAGAACTTAAAAATCAGCTTCATCTTGGAGGATTGGCAGCAAATATGCTTAATCTCTTCAAGGCATCACACAGCAAAATAATTACCTAGTGGTGTTTAATTGTTTGTTGTTATTTTTAAAGGCTAAAAATCAGACAGAATGTGTTGATAGTATCCTCTTTTGGTGGTTGAAGGTTAGTTTTCTATTCATTCTTGCTATAATTTGCTTTTAAGTAACATATGGTAATGCTGGAATGGAAATTATGAGTTGAAATCTTTGATTTGGGTGCTGTTGCCCATACAGGATCGGTGTAGCTGTGTTAATAATGGTTTAGTGAGGCAGGGATGGAGCGGGGGCATTTTAACATTTGACAAATATTCTAAGAAATCGTTTCATCTTTTCAACTGTACTTGAAATACACAATAGGTTTTGTAAGAGCGATGAAGCATTTTGAGGACTGCGTTCTAGCAGTACTGTTTTCCCAACTGCCAGTTACCATCCCTTCAGCTGAGACTGGGACTGATCACATGAGATCTTGTAATCTGCCCGAATAACCTCTCTGGTCATCTAAAGCATCTGAGTTTCTTACCCTCAAAGCAGATTAAGAATGCCTTATATTATCCTGTATCTCATCTGCTGAACATGACATCAGCAAGCAGTGAAGCGGTAACTTTTTCAGTTCTTTGGACACAATTGCAAGAACGTGTTTGAAAGATATCCTAGTAGTGAAATTTTATTGGGGCTTTTAATTAGAATTTTTAATATGTGAGGGTTAGATTCTCATGGTTTTGCCATATTAACCCTAATGTAAAAAATTATTTTTTTAATTTTGAAGCTTAATTTCAAAATGAACTGTCTCAATGTAAAAAAAGTACACAGAAACTTGTAATACCAACAAACACCTTTTGAAAAAAAAACAAACACTAAACCTTTCATCTGATAATGTGCTGCATTTACATACGTTATTTTCCTATTTTAAAATGTCTAAACCATCTAAATCAGATAATAAGTTTTCAAAAATACCTGAGGATGTTTAGGAGTAATTATCTCAGGTGCTTCCTTGTAAGCTGTTGCCTACTGCTTTTACAGCGCTGGTTTACCCGTGCAGAAAACGTTAAATTGTCGATTGCTGATTCCTCTACGTGCTCATTTTACTCATCAAAGGCCTTCTTCCTTATCAGAAGTCCTGCAAGCTGACCTAGAGTTGTTTCTTTCTCTTATGCATTGACATAAATGAGAAATTATGCAAGTTTTACTCTCTTTTAGGAGTCCCTCACCAGAATCACAGTGGTAATTAATGTTTTCTTCCTGATTAATGATATAAATACACTTTTCAGTCAGTCCTATTTGTGTGGCTTTGTAGAACTGACTAGTAAAACTAAACATTTCTATGTGCATTTTAGTTGCATATCACTATATTCTTGTATTACTGTAAATACTATAGTGTGCTAGCATAAATATCATGCTCATGGTTAATGTCACTTTAGATCTTTATAAATACATATATGTACGTATGCATATGTATATGAAATCATTTAACTCTGAAACAGTCATTCCAAGCAAATGGAAGATACTCTCTGGATTTTGCGAACTAATATGAGGTAAATTATTTTCCTTTTTATTGGTGTTTACATGTAAGGAGGTTTTTTCTCTTTTAGTGTGCGATGATTTTGGCAGTTAGTTACAAATTTTTCAGCCACGCGTCACGGAATGCTACAACTCTTGGAAGCCTGTGGCTTGTGTCTGTGGGAAAACATCTTATTCTTGGAAATGTGTTTGTTTTGAATTTACTGCAAGCTGTTGCTTATTGAGATCTACAAGGTTGTGTGGCACAAGCACCCTGAATTACAACATCCTGTGAGAATGTGGAAACACTGTAAGCTGTTTCAGATGTGCAGTTTGCAAGTCCAAATTGGCGCCTTTCTTGTCTCATTCTAAGAAGTCAGGCAAGCCATTCTTCCTGTTCTGCTAGTGAGATTTGGGGAGCACTTTCAGATAGGAGGTTGTGTAAAATCTCTTCTTATGGACTTGTTCCCCTGGTTGTTCCCCAAGCCGGGAAGGGCTGCCCAGCGTTTGTGCCTACAGACTGAGGTGTGCGTTGAGCAAAAGGAGATTAATGGACTCATCACAAAGGTTTATGTTTATGATTTAAATTGGGTCTGCGCTAATTTGCCTTTTGGTCACTCCATCTTATGTAATGCATGTTCTACCTTTTCTGGAAGTCTCTTCTGTTTTTTTCATGGTTTTGTTTGAGCAGTTTTCTGTGGCATTTTGTCTTTCGCCGTTGGCCTATGTTGTCTTTGAATTTTCAGAGTTAGCCTATACCTACATTTGGAAGTAGTAACTCACCAGCCACATTGATATCTTGTCTGAGATCAAAGTGATGCTTGTAGGAAAGATGATTTTTTTTTATTATTATTTTTTTTTTAACAGGTTAGGCCTAGTTTGAGTCTTAAATAGAGGTGGTTAGTTTCTACAAAGGTGCATGATTCAGTCCTTTCAGCAAAGAAAACAGTTGCTCGTAGCCTATTATGGGCTGATTTCAGTTTACATGAGTGTCTTTCATTACCGTTCAGGGGAAAAAATGCCTGATTGTGCATTTTCAGGCTTCCTAAAATATATATAAAACTACTTGGCAAGTGACATTTAGTTCTTTTTAGTTAGTATGTATAATTGTAAACACTAAGGATTTTTAGTATCCTTCTGGAACAAATATCTAGGGGTAAAAGTATCTGTGCAGCAGGAAACAAAATCTTATTTGTGTTCTCCCTTACCCTGGGGCATCAGACTGCATTTTTACATGTTTTGGGTGAGTGACAGAATCTGAATGAAGTACAGTGTCTATATTTAGATTTCATTAGGTGCATACAGAAATATAAATGTCCTTATTGTAATTTCATCTAAAGCCTATGATGGATACCTGCTAAATGTGAAGGAGCAATACAAGTTTTGAGAAAATACTCTTGGGCCAAGAATTTTCAACACAAAATCCCACGTATTGTATCTCTTGGATCTAAATAATTTTATCTCACATTACAGCTTGTATCCTAGGGCTGTGTGTGCTTTGTGCTACATAGCTACATTACACTGATTTGATAAAATGTCAGAGCTGGCTTTATAATGAGAAGTACTGTAGTGAAAAAGCTTGGTGTATAATAAAAACACTGTAAAACTCAGAGATTTTTATCTTACCAAAGGGGAGAAAAAGGAACTGTATATAAAACAATGTACCTCATTGCAAGATAAAAGTCAGCTTGGAACAAGATGAGCAATAAAACATTGTACTTGACTTAAGGTAGCGTTGCTCACAAAGGCAGGCAGTTGGGGCAGGTAGCTAAACTTTGTAGCACAAATTTACAAACTTTTAGTCAAGAGAAATTTAATATACGCAGAAAATAAGGTTTGTACCTTCCCTCTACGATTCGGGCTATTCCCTTTTATGCAGAGTATGTGAAGTGTACTTACGAGGCTTACAGTAATTTCATATGCCATGTATTCAGAATGAATATAATATTGTAAGAGCTTGTTCTGCAGAAATAACCAAAATTACGTAATCTATTGAAACCATCTGGTTTCAGGCACTAGAAGCTTCCAGTGTCATCTAAGCAAAGGAGAACAGGCACTTAGTCTGAAACACACGTTTGGTTCTTTTCGAGGTACTCCGAGGCATGGGTCCCGTGTCGCTGATGAGCG